TTCTATTGTATTAGATCCATGAGTGACTTCTGTTATTTAATGCTCATACTACAGTATTGCTGCTAGAGCCCCTAATGTATGGATCTCTGGGATATGAGAGCTGCTTTTCAGAGTGCAAGCATTCCTACAGCCTGCGGTATTTGTAGCTTTATATAATATTTAAAACTGTTCAGTGACATATACCAATTATAAGTAATAGCCTTTGACAAACTTAAGTTCACTAAGAGCTAATTAGGCAAGATTCTGTCCTCCAGGAAATTCACTGCTGATGGCAAACATGGTAGCTGTTAGAAACTAGTGATATTTAATTTTCTACCTTAAACAAAATGTGCTGTAAGCAGTTTCATCCTACACAAAGAAAGAGTCTCCCTCTCACAAACATTCAGAATGTGGAATTTATCTTTGTTTAAATTTCTGAGCAGTAATTTTGTATTAAATGCTAAAAACTTATTTCAGGAGTAAATGATCAAAAGCTACATTTGCTTTCATTGTGGTAATAACATGTAATGAGGATTCTAATTCATGTTTGAAATAATACTGTACAGTGTTGTAATTAACATGCACTGGAATGTAGGGCCACAAAAAGAAAGCCCTGGAAAAGTTCTTTAAATTTTAGTCCTCTGGACTGAGCAAATCAGTGGAATGTCATACTTAAAGATTTTTTCAGGCAAGACTAAACTCTGCCACAAAGCAGGAGAGATAACTTACATAGTGAAGTGGTCAGAATAGGAAAACACAAAGAATTTGAAGAGCAAAAGATAAATAGCCTTCCTTCTCAGTAGTTGGACTCTTTGCAGCCTGGGGTGTCATGCATTCAGTTCATGCTCATGCACTGCATCCACTGCACACACACAAACATCTGCTTCAGTGAGAGTTTTACAAGAGGCTCCCCTCTCCAGTTGGAGGTCGAGCTTTGGGAGGGAACATACATACTACCCACTTGTCTTTATATGCTAAATGGAAGCCAGTGTTCTGTTTCAGCAAGGAAGTGTGTGCTGCCCTGGACTCAGGAGATACTGGCTCCTGTGCAGCTCCTTTCTGGGAAACTGTGTTTAGTAAGATGTTCTTGAGAGTGAAAATGAAATACAAACTACGTTAGGTGAGCAGTAGCCAGTAAAGGAAGCCACATGGCCCATTTGGCATCTCTTTTTGGAGCTGTTCCAATTCAGATATAGTTAATGATGTAAGCCAGAGTAAATCTCATTTTGTTTGAGAGCAACGCAGCCAAGTTCCAAAGGGGAAATATGGAGAGAAGCGTGATGAAAAGCAGAGAGGCGGTTGGACATGTGAGTTCCAGACAGACTCACTGAAAAGTCACAGAAGCCATTTACCTGACACAGTATGGCTTCTTGACTCTCTTGAGCTGGCACCCAGATGTTGTCCCCCAGAGAAGCCCACAGGAGCCCCAAGAGGAAACGTACTGAACCAGGAGACATGTTGAAGAACAGAAAGCTCTCCAGAGAGCTCTTTCTCGAGGGAGGCCTCAGGGGCAGCCCCAGCTACAAAAGGCTGAGGCTGTGTCAGAGGCTGGGAGGTGTGTGCACACTCTGGCCTCAGCCACCACGGTACAAACAGGCACGTTTGTACCCACCTCAGGGACCTGTTGCACAGGTGTAGGCTGGAGGGACCAGTCCCATAAGTTGGTCCCAAACACAGGGTGTAAACCCCACGTTACTCAGTATCCATTTCCTGGAAAACAGTTGTATCCTTTTTAAATGTTCACTGAAAACTCTATGGGTATTTATTCTAAATTACAAATGGCACATTACCATGTGACAGCAGCAAAGTAAATGCAAGAAATGGGCAGGAGTTTACAAATACAAATAGTTCAATGTGTGCTCCTCATTGCCTGTACTGCAAATGGAAGCTGTGTTAAACTGCATCACTCAAATTGCTTTATAGCAATCACATAAGAGGTGAAGCACAACAGTTTTTCAGCTTGATGGAGCCGTATAAAGTGAATATATCATTCAAGACTGTAACCGAAAGCTCAGTGTAACCAAAACCACATGCAATTTGCATTTGGGTGTACAGGGACTGTACATTTTGGGGTTTCTGCCCCAGTTCTCCTTCTGGAGTGTCATTAGAGAAGCTGTGCTATGCCTTGGGGAATAATTCAAGGCTTGATGCTGAAAGAAATACTTGTTTCCCCCAGCAGAATATGTCTAAGAGTAAAATAGCCCCATCGCTATCAGGGTTATCCAGAGAGGTGACAATGGCAGCTGCCATCTGTACCATCAGAGCCTTCTGTACAGCAAGGCACTTCCAGGTTTCCAGAGTTTAGTTTCTCACTGAACCCTCAGAGGTTGAAATCAGGTGCTTTGCTAAGCAGAGAGAGGGGCTCACCCAGGCTGCGTCTGTATCAAGCAGTGCAGTGCACAGAGCTTGTTCAGAGCACCTGTCTATGGATATCTGGGGAGGGGTTCCTCAGGAGGATCTGCAGTCTGACCCACTGGACCGAGCGTCCGTTAATGGTCAGCACATTTGCTGTGATTCTGGAGCTCGTCTTCCACTTTAGTTTCATCTGAAAAGAATTTGGTTTACGTGCTCCGAGACCATGCTGCAAGGCAGACCACAGCATATTAAGTAGGGATGACCAGAGATGTTATCCAAACTGTACACCCAGTAACTTTCTCAAGGCTTATTGTCTCAAATCTGCCCAACATTGCAGGCAGAGCCTTCTCGCCCCCAGGTGAAGGCTTGGGTTTTGTCTGATGAGAGATTTCACTTTCTAGATGTTCTGAAATTAATCTTAGAGTTTGTACATTTTCCAGTTTGGAAAATAATGTTGCAAGCCTTGAGAGTTACCGAAGATGGTAGTTTAAACTCTTAATAGTATGTGGTCTGTGATGTTGTTCTCCAGAAAAAATAGAAATAGGAGATTTGGAGGGACAGAGTTTCAGCCAGCTAACTCCAGAGGTGCCAGGTTGGTCTCAGACATAGGTACGGTGAGGAAGCACTGGCTTCCAGACAGAGCCTGCGGGTAATCGAAGGGTTCGTCCCTGCCTTGCACCTGACACAGGTGCTCTCCACAGCCTGTAAAACCCATCACAGTGACATGAAACAGCTTTCGGCAAAGATCTGAATCAGCTCTGTGCTGTAGGCCAGGACCTCCTGCCTCACTTTCACTTTGTAACAGGATTAAGACATCGTAATAGGATGGTTGAAGAAAGCTGTTACTTCTTTTGCACACATGGTGTCTGTTTTTCAAGGATTCCTGTCCTCCAACTTACCAGGGTGCCCCTTTTATTAACTCCAATTTAAGTTAAGGGTCTAATATTTATCTGTTCTTAAAGAGAAACTACTTACTAGCTCACAGAGCCTAAAAACAACAGCAATAAATAACAGCAGAAAAGACAGTTTCTTCACAATAAATGCCTTGTACTGCCTCTAACTTGCTCAGTCTGAACATAAATTGAGGTATCCATGCACTGAAAAAAACTACAGTCCATGTGAGGCTCTTCTCTGCTTTAAGACAAGGTTGAAACTAGAAAAGGTAAGACAGAACTGAGAAACTCAGATTATCAACAACGATTTTGTAGCTTCAATTTCTGTTACATTCATATGGTGAATATACTAGAAAATGGGCCCTGCATTTGCATTTCCTTTTAGTCTTGTGCTGCAGGACATTAAATAATAGCATTTGTGGTCTAATCTGCACTTTAATACGTTTTCTCCACTTGCCTAATTGTATTAATGGAAAGAGGAGGATGATCTTGTGGCGAGGACAGAGTACTGGAAGTCAGGTGATCTGGGTTATATTCAGAGTTCTGCCACAGGCTTCCTGTGCAGTCTGCTGTAATCAGGTTTGCTAATATATAAAATGAAGATAATGGCATTTCCCCTCCTTACCAGGGTGTTGTTACACTTAATTCATTAATGTTTGTAAAGTGCTTTGTGCTCCTTGCTTCTAAATGTGCTCCTTATTGTAATAACGTCTTATAGGTGGTATTAAATTTGAAAATAATGTTACTTTAGTGCCTGTGCATTTCAGTTGGCTGAAGTGTAGTAAAGACCATTATGTTCATGTATTTTATGAGCTACTGGAATTTTTTAGATTACTTACTTGAAACTTAGCTAATATAGTTAGTTATAAAATATACTATGTCAGTACTATGCCTGCTTCTTATATTTTTTTGTCCTTTCACTATGATGAAATATTTAGCAATAAGCAAGACTGTCTTGTTCAGACTAAAAGGAGGAAGAAAGAGTTTGGCATAAGTAGTCCAGCTGCTCGACTTCCAGCTCTGTTTCTGAGCCTGCTCTCTACCCTGGTAAATCACAGGGTAGAGCTCTGTGTCCCAGTGCAAACTGCACAGAAAAAATAAGCAAGAAATTAAATTTTTTTAAAAAATCTGAGGGTATGAAAAAGGGGAGGTTTAGTATTTACCTAAATTGTAGCAGTACTACAGGACCAAGCAACTGTATACAATTTATGTAGTACAGTTAAAAACAAAACAAAAAAATAGTTAACTTGCAAAATCTCTGGAGGTTCAGCAATGCAGCTCCCAATAACTTCACTTCAAATCACACTCCTAAATTTCTGTATTGCACAGGAAAATAACTCAGCTAAAACGTTCTTAATGTGCAATACAGTATGTTTGTTAAAGCAACTGGAAGTTGTGCATAGAAATAAAAGCAGAATAAACTGCTGAGTTTTTAAAAACAAAAGCAGAAGTATTATTGACATTCATTGTGCATATCTGGATTTTTCAGAATGTGGTAGTTTACTGAAATACTACTTCTATATGAAATCAAATGCTTATCAGACAAGTGTAATACATAAAGCTATCTGGGTTTAATAGCCAGCGATAATTACATCAGGTGAAGAAAGGAATTACAAACTTACCATAAATAGAAGCAATTCATTCAAGGCTGTACACTGTTTGTCAGGCAGTAACCACGCTGCTGGTACAGTACAGGAAAAAGCATACATGTCCCCTTACAAGCACTGTCCAACGTTAGATTAGTAGGAAGAAAGGAAAGCAGCTGACACTTACTATCAATATAAAAGTTCCCAGGAATTCTGAGAGGGCTTCTTTAACCAAGCTGTTCTTCAAGGCAAATTTCTCCTTTAAACTCCTTTTGCTTTTCCGGCTCATTTTGGCTTCCTCTATTGCTCTGGTGCCCTAGTTACAAATACACACAAAATTTGTTCTGTATTCGTCCCTGCTTCAGCTGAACTTTGACATTTTTACTTATACATTGAAATATGAGATTTCATCTTGTACAGCCAGTGAAATCATCTGACTGCAGGCATTGACAGAACCAACTCAACATGCCCTAACAATTCATCATGCGTTTTCCATCCTGTGCCTTCTCTGAGTACACTTCTATTTATACTGGTTAGATAATGCCAGTAAGTTCATAATCAGAACTTCTTTTTTCTTGCAGAATGGATTAATCATTACCTTTCCTGCTATGTCACTTTTTTTTCTTCCCTGGTAAAAATGAATAAGATGTTGTTCCTGTCACCCTGATCAAAAAGAAAGGCAAAAAGAGAAACCACAAAGTAAGGAACAAAAAAATGGTTGAAAATTTCTCTCTGACCTAGATTGTGATTTAAACCATGCTACTATTGGCTGTCCAAACACTTTTCAATGGGAGGTTGTAAAAGAGAGTGAACGCTTGTGAGAATGCTGTGCTCCACCCTGTAAACAAAAGCTCCTATCTTGTCACTTCTGAGGGATTTCAGTGGCTAATGAGGAATCTTACCTTGGTACAGTATGTTGAATTTGTATATTCACTCACAATACTCTTTTTGGACTAAATGCCTTACTCTCTAGTGACCCGCCCTGTTTACAAAAGAGCAATGAGGCAGAATAAATTAGGAACATTTAATGAAATCTGCTTCGGTCCAGTGGCTCCCTATAATGCAGTATAGACAACTGAAGCACCGAGTGACTATATGTCTCCATAATGTTTAGCTTGAAAGTGCATTATGAAGCATTATAATATTAATTTCTACAATCTTAAGACATGAAGTTGCTGAATCTCTCAAAGTGTTGGGCCTCCTAGAGAAAAATATTACGCTCTTAATCTCTTAAGCATTTTAAATGGTTTTATCAGATGTGATACTGATTTGACTAACAGGCTGTCTGGTTGATTTACAAGTATTTTCTGTCCTTGGGCTTGACAACAAAACCTTAGCCCAGATCTGGTAGATTATCTTGGCATGTGTTGTAGATGCTCAGTGCCTTGGTTTGTGTCTGTCCTAGATCTTTTTGCCTCGGTGGTAAATATGTTGAGGTCTGTCAGTACTGTTGTCTGCTGTGGACAGGACAGAGCTTAGCAGATTGGGCAAGTGGGCCACCTCTGTTATCCCATCAGTGTCCTTCCTTGCCTCAAGCTGGGACCTGGTGCACGTTCCCTGCAGCTGTAGTCACCTTACCACCCCCAGTTTCATCCCTTAACTACCCAGTTCACCCCCACCACCCCATTTTAATCCTTAACCGCTTCTGCATGTTCTTTTACCCACCTTCCTCTACCTCTGCGTTCAAACACCACTCTGCCTTTAGCTGATTCAGAAAATGCTGGCCTGTGGAAAGCCACATAGCTGATGAGTTCTGAGATGACTGGATCTGTGCTGGTGCTGCAGGAGCCGGGCGAGCCCTCGCAGCCGCGCCAGGCTCTGTGGCAGCCATGCTGCCCCTCCTGCACCCAGCACCTGCCCCAGCACCTGGGACCTGCCTCTGGGGAGCCCCTGAAAATAGCCTCTGTATGATGGCAGCTTGAAAACCTTTGCCCTACACTGCTCCAAAACAAAGATACTATTCAGGACCTTAATTATCACAGCATGCTGGAGTATATGTTTATTATGTCTGTGAGAGAAGTCTTTCAGAATTGTGTACACAGTGGAACTGATGCTAGCGAGGCCATTCATTAGGGCAGGAATGAGATAAACCACTTCCTTTCTTCCAGGAAAATGAGAAATAAATATGTTTAGGAAAGCAATTTTTAGTTGTTTGTCCATAGCAGTTTTTTTCTTATGCAGGTCTCCCTCATGAAGCAGCATGCAGATACCACTTAGTTTCATCTCAGAACAGGTGTGAAGACTGTAGCACTATTTTTCAGCTAACAACAGGGCAATAACATGTGAGGGACAGAAACCCCTACTCTTTGCCCAGGTCATGGTGCTTTCCTTATAATTTTCTGCCTTTACAGGGGGGAGATCTGACAGAAATATGTATATTTTACATTTGCTTCAGACTTTCTTCAGTACTTTATAGAAATCGTATGATTTAACTCCATTCATAAGCAATGTGATGATAAGTTAGACCAAAGGTCCTCCTCAGCTCAGCAGCCAGGTTCAAGCAGATACTCTAAGAAAGTATAGAAGAACAGAGTACGTAGGGGATGACTGCTCCCTTGGTAAATCCTTCCAGCTTTTGACAACAGGCAGTTTAAAGTCACTGCTATACTTTGGAATCATTTTCGAATAGAAAAGGAGACAGCACGGAAAATTTGAATTGTTTCTCCTTGTATTCAGAAAGAGGTTCTAAAGACTTTTCCCAAATCTAACAGATATGTATGTAGCATTACAAGAAAGACAAGTAAAAATGTAAAGATAAACACCAAAAGCTTTAACCACTAACTCATGTGATCCATGCTCTGTGTTACTGCCTTTTAGTCACATGCAATGGACCACCTGGTTGAACAATGGAAAGAAAATACACGGAGATTACTGTTTCCTACTGATCTCCCTCACCTGGGCCCTGCTCCCAGAGTCATAATGGTAAGGATACTGGCAGTGCCACACATAAATATCGACAGCTGTGTCATCTGAGGGAAGAAAATGCAGACATCCTTTGAAAATGGAAGTTTTGTATAAGCAAGGAGCATAAAAAGAGAATAAAACTCTGTGACGTTAAACATAGAACCACAACAGAGATGACCAAAAAGATTTTAAGATTTTTACCAAGGCTGTGGAAGAAATAATATAAACTTTTTGAAATTCCATCATCAGAGGAGTTCCTCAAGAGACTCAGAAGTCAGTAAAGCTATAGAGGATGAAAGTGTAGAAGAAGCATTCAAGGTGACTCACTCTGCAGCTAAAAAGCTGAATTATCTGCGTTTCTAAAGAACCACACATTAGGTCGGCTGAGCATGAAGAGCTGTCCTAAAATTAATTATCAGTAGGAAAGACTTCAAGAGAAATTGATAAGGTAACCAGTAACTGATTGCTGGAGCTGTGCAGCATTTCCTCCAAGGGATTCACATGTTCAGCTCCTGAAGTGCTAGTGCCAGCAGGCTTTTTTTCTCTGAACCCGATCCTAACACCAGCAAGATAGAACATAGGAACATACCACTGATGCACTGGTCTTTCAAAAGAGTCCTCCAAAGGTCATCATGGGAACTGCAAAACTGTCAGTGTGTCTTCTATGGCAGGAAAATTAGATGAAATGTAAAGAATGAAATCAGTAGACACACAGGTGAAGCTGATACTCTGTGGAAGTATCAAATGGATTCCTTTAAGGGAGGTTATGTCTCACAAATCTATTGGCGTTCTTTAAAGCCATCCAAAAGCCCACTGATATTATTGTACATGCTTGAACATGTGATCAGTGTAACCTTAGATTGTAAGACTAAGACCCTTGGGACCCTTACCCCAGGGCAGTCTGGACAGAACTATTTATTCTCTTCACCTGGATTGAGGCAGAGCAGGAATTCACACAGTGTATATAACCTAACCATTTTTATAGTAATCTTCACTCCCATAGAAATAGCAAAGTAGAGAATAATACACATAGCTCCCACAGTTTAAATCCCATGGGTAACAGTATATACTGTACTGAATTTTTAATAGCACGTTATTCAGAGTATCACATAAATTGCTGTTACTGATGTAATAAAACCTAAACCAACACAGCTGGAGAGAATAAGGCTATAAATACACCATATATTTGTTTGTATTGTAATAATATGGGCCAAATTATTTTTAAGTCTAAATCTGATGATTTTAGTTGAATTAGATGAAGTCTGAATGTGTACATCTACTATAATTCATGTCCCTACTCAAATGCATTTGCCTAATTTATATTTATGGTTTTATACAGAAACTGCTTTATGGTCCTTAAAGGACATTCTCTGTTTCTTGGATTGATCCTGCTGCTGGGGAACTCAAAGAAAAAAATTCAGGTGAGGAAGATCTGAACACACTGTAATTCAGCATTCTAAGCTTTTTGAGTACATAAGAAACCTATTTCTTTAGTTCTTGTGTTTTCTGATCATCCCTCTGTCTCTGCTGTAGTCCCAGTGCTCTCGGGGGCAAACATCTGCAACGTGCAGCTCGGGTCTAGCTGAGCCCACCTTGGAGGAGGGGCAGGGCACACAAGGTGACCCCTTGAGAAGTTCTTTCTTCTCTGTTTCTGTAATCTCAATGTCCAGATAAAACATTTCAATGGAGATCATGAATATGAGATCAAACCACACCGCATAGGTGTGTGTTTCAAGCTTTTTGTCAGCAATCTTTAAGGCCTGGTTCAGAGCTTATTGAAGTCCACCGTTGCTGACACTGATTTCAAGGAAAAATAAACTGGACTTTCTGTAAAGTAGGATCCAAAACTTTTCTTTGTTTTTGACTAGCTGGGCACACCATTAGGCCTCAGAGCATGAGTGATGTTACTGCACATGTGTATACATATAATATATAGCTATATAATTGATGATAGTAAATGTTAAAATCTGTTGTTAGGGACATGTGTGGGTATAACATAGGCTCTGAGAGTTTCCAAGCCACTTTAATCTCTGCGATAGCCGAGCTGGCATAGCGGGGCACAGATAACATTCCACTCTGATGGGCTCTGTGACAGGACTGTCAGTGCTGGCAAAATGTGAACGTGTTAGGGAAAGGCTCTACGTGCACCAGTGTTATCCGCTGGGCTGGGCTGGGGCTCCTTCTGAATGGCTGGATGCAGTTCTAGTATGAACTTATCTGGTAGGTTACAGTGTGGGCAGGTCTGGAGCACAGGTCTGCTGGGTAGCGGCTGAGGGAACTGGGGGGGTTCAGTCTGGAGAAGAGGAGGCTGAGGGGAGACCTCCTGGCCCTCTGCAACTCCCTTTAACCGGGTAATGAGTGATAGGATAAGAGGTAACGGCCTCAGGTTGTGCCAGGGCAGGAAGTATCTCCTTGCAGAAGGGGCTGTTGGGCGTTGGAATGGGCTGCCCAGGGCAGGGGGGAGTCCCCGGGATCCCTGGAGGGGTTGAAGAGTCGGGCTGAGCCAGCGCTGAGGGACCTGGGGGAGTTGGGAACAGTCAGGGTGAGGGTCATGGTTGGGCTGGAGGAGCTGCAGGGGCTTTTCCAACCCAGATAATTCTGTGATTCTGTGATTTTCTGAATGAGTCCAGAAAAAGACTGTTTCAATACAAGAAGAATTTTGCTTTTAAGGAATAGATCAGTTTAGTACAGACACTTTGTTGCAGCTAATTCCTTGCTCTTTTTTTCTGCATATTCCCTTTTCTCAAGCAGTTAATGCACACGAGAAGCAAATGTAAGGGAGAATTATTGGCAGCATTTTCTTTTCAAAATAACTCCTCTTCAGAAATCTTTATAAAAAGCCCTCAAAATGGAAATAAAAATTTTTAATTCACCTTTGCTATTAAAACCAAATATATCTTGGTAAATAAGCAGCATGAAGAAAACCTGCAAGTATATCCAATGGCTTTGTAGTGATCTGAGGCCTCTGTTTTCTTAACCTGAATGGTACACATTGTCAAAACCTTTCATCTTTCTCCAGGGCACAGATTCTCTACAGCAGTAGACACCCTGAGCCTTATTATGGCTACCTGTAGGGCTGTGAAGAGCGGGAGATCTGAGCTTCCCTCATTAAGAAAAGAGATTTAACATGAAAGCCAAAAATAATGTCTCCACTGACACACAAAGGCCAAGCAGTGTGTTTGGCAAACAAATAAATGTAGCTAAATAGGACAGCCAATTACTGGTTCTGAAACCTGATTACCATCAGGAAAGTGACAGTTTCCTGCATGTGACTCACCATCCCACCCATCTGCAGCTGTCTCCCACCTGACGCTACCCGAGGATGCCAGCCAGCCAGGCTTCGATTCCCTGCTGGAGAAGGGTTTTCTGCAAGAGCTGCTGTTCCTGGGGCTTTGCTCCCTCTCTCCCGCAGCAAGGGCATTTGCTTTGCCTCCATGCTCCAAACACTCCTCCCTTGTCCTTTAACAGGTGAGGTGCCAGTCCACCTGTTTTACTTTCATTCCCTTCCCTTTCATTCAGAATGATTCACGTTTGAACATCTAAATCCTCTGTCTTTCCAGAAACATCAGCTTTGCTTCTGGGATTCCTTTTACATATTAAATATTAACAATATAGATGATAAATTTATCTCAGGCTCCTGTATAAGAATATTGGATTTCCAGGTCCAGTTCCTTTGGGACTTTGCAATCAAGGTTTTTTATGGAAAAAAATTGTTCCAAGGTTCATAGCAGACCCTTTAGAGGGGGTACTTAGGAGCAGACCCAGGCAGCAATCTTTTGTTACTTCCGTATGGTATCTATATTCATTAAGGTAATGAAGCTATTAATTGAATATGTAAGTTCAAGTAATTAACTACAAG